ATAAATTATAAAAATGTACTATCCGGGAGTAACAGGAAGTTATACTTCAGATCTTTCTGTATTACTGTGTATGCATATATGTATATATTAAATTTAGTCATCATGATATTAGTACCTAGCTTGATCAATTATATATTATCCAATACGTAATACTGCATTAACGATATGTTTTGTAAAAATATGATTCATTCATGAAAATAAACGATTAATAAAAAAAGAAAAATCTGTATTCTATGATCAATTTTTCGTTTTAGTTAAATATGAATTACTTTAACTTATAATTTATCAGATTTATCTTGTCTCAATTTGAGGCAAATAAAGAACTTAATAAATTAAAATATTTTATTAAAAACAAAATACAAACTAATTAATCTGAATATCTTGTACGTGTACTAATTATATAATAGGTATTAATAGAGTATTTTAAAGGAATTAAAGTCTTTCCTATTCTCAAAAAATTTATTGCAAAATTTAATTTCTAAAATAAGTATATTTACATTTAAATATGAATGATAAATATATGAATTGTACATATTGTTTGTACAATTATTAATGAAAATTTATAATTGTTTACCAGCAGTAATTTTTTCCTCATATTCAATAAGTTAAGAATAAATTATTATTACAAAATAAATACATATTTCTTTAACTGGTTGATTCATTTATAACCAAATTTAAATATCAATAAGTTATATCAAATAAATAGTATTAAGAAATTGGATCCAATATATCATTTATTACATTATTCCACGATCGTCTAACCTAATATTTGTACACATTCGAAATATGATATGAAGTCATCACATTTTAAAAACCATTGATATAAAATCTTTAATAATTATATAATATATATATTATAATAAACACTTGATACATAAAATACAAAAAATAAGCAATAAAATATTTTTTCGTATAAAAATATTTTCTTGTAAATCACTATAATTTTAAATATATTTACACGACATTAATGTATAAATTACAGGCGAAATCAAATTTAATGAGTTACAATTAATATACGGTCAAAGTAAACTCTTAGTAGTACGAGTTCCTGTTAACATATGTTAAGTATAGTTTTGTTTTAGGAATTTTAAAAAATAATTTAATTGTCGTCAATGGTAAACATTATTGAACAATAATATACGGATCATTATAACTCATACTTGAATATACAAGTAGGTAATTCAATACAAACTAAATAAATAAATAAAGTACTTACACAAATTACTGATTCTGTAAATATTTTATAAACAAATATTTACATAACATCGTTTATACTTATCAACACATGGTTATGCATTTAATGCATAAAATAATCAAATAATATGCACCTAACCTGCTCACAAAATCTACCAAAATTCAGAAAATTAATATAAAGAAAATGTACGAATATGCTCTAAAAATGTCACTACGAGGATATTTATACAATAGGTATATATATTTTTAATTGTTAACAAAATTCACTATTTTCTTTATAGTTTGACAGTTACCTAAAAATCATAACACTTATCAGTTATGAGCAAGATCGTATCTGAGGGAGTCCAGGGTATCTAGACCCCCCCCCCGAAATTTCTTCAATATTTTACGAATGTTTAATATACTTATTTATTTTTAATACCAACATAAATATTTTCAGTCAAAAATGATTTAAGCTCCAATTAATCATTGACTGCTTTTAATTTTATATCATAATATCATATGAAAATATAATATTGATTTTAATAAAAGAAGATTAAATCTTTATTGTCTTATTTTTAACCAAATACCAAAAGTTAAAATCTAAATTCAATAAAATTACAATATACATATTTTGGACCCCTCCCGAAAAAAATTTCTAGATACGGCATTGGTTATGAACAGGATTGGGAATTTATAGCACTTAAAATTGTATAAATATGCGCTATAATATTACCTTAAAAATCGTTAAATAAGCTCTAAAAATATGCAATAAAAACAACAAAAAAAAGGAAATTTATTATTTAATAATTTTATGCGAGCACACGAAACGAATTCTACACTCGTTCGTTGATAACCGGCTATTAGTAGATTTAATAAAAAATCGACAAAAAAAAAAACCAACAAAATAGATAACAAAAATAAGAACCAAAAACGAAATAATTGTATTACTCGTATATTATATATATCTATATATTATCGCTGTAATTGTACATAGTTGCAAAAGCGTAATCGGTATATTTACTTAATCTATACATTTATAATTTAATTAAAAATTAAAATTAAAATTTTGAATCTTGGAAATTCGATTAACAAAAATCAAAAAACACGTTTACCAAAATATAATTTCATAAAATATGCAAATGCTATAAAATCCCAACCCTATTTATGAGTCATAAACTATGACAAATAATATGCTTTAAATCTAAGTAAATAAATACAAGTAAATTAAAACATTCATAATAAGGTCAGTAAGAATAAATAAGAATAAATAAAAACGGTTAATCTAAAAAAAAAAAAATACCGTTACTTTTAGGTTCTAAAGCTATACATACATTTTAAAATATAAAATGTAATATATTTACAGAATATGTAGATAACAATAAATTATAAAAATATAAACTAATACGCACATACACATATATAAATATATTTAATATGTATGCACTAAAGATTAAAATATGTAATAAGTAATATTTAAATACATAGAATGGTAATGAATAATAAAATGTGTATTTCATTTTATTAACATGTTTTTATAATAATTTTCTGAATAAAACTAATCATTATCTATGGAAAATCATTAAATTCACAATACTACTCATAATCTATTTTAACTTAAGAGTACCTATTTATGATGTGGTGTATGAAATAAATATAAATACCTAAATATAAACAGAAAATATCAATACAGAAAACCACCAAAGTAAATAACAAGTAATTGTAAATTTAATTTAAACATAGGGTTGCCATAAATTTATAAGGTGAAACCGGGACAAAACAAACACATTATCGAGTAATATACTTTTTATATAACTTTTAATATATTGAATGGACCAGTGGAGTATTCAAGGAGGAATCAGATCCCCCCCTCCTAGGCCTTTTATTAAATGTTATAAAATAATTTTCTTAGTGTGAGGTCGTTAAAAACGTAAAAATAAATAATGATTTGCTTGCAAATGATCCCTTCCCCGTACAAAAGTTATGTATACGCCACTGAAGAGGATCATTATTGGCCTGCAATATAATATTTAAAAATATTTTTGTGAAATAAAATATATATTTATATGTGTAAATTACAAATTGTATTTTTATTATATATTGTTAATCGATTACGATTAAAAATGTACTTTGAGATAAAATGGTCGAAATGAAAAATTAAACAATACTACAATTTCTTCTAAACGTCCAAGCCTAGTCTAACCTATGGACGTCCCGAAAACATTTTTCGGGACACCGGGACGCGAAGTCCAAAAACGGTGACAATCCCGGTTTTCCGGGACGTATGGCAACCCTATTTAAATAAAATCGTTTATGGTGTAACCTACTGAATTATAAGATAATATTTTGATGTTACTAAATAATAGTCATTATTTTTTGTAAGCAAGGGGAAAAAAATGAAAATTCATAAGTAAACAATAAAGTGAAAAAAATTGATATTTGATTAGGTAAGTACCTAGTAGTTAAAATTAACGTACACGAATGATGTAGAATAGTAAAAAAAAAAAATTTGCAACTCCATGAGTATGGTATAATATTGCACAACAGTATGTATAAACAATATTGTGATAACTTTGTTACAGATAAGTAGAGACAGGGCCGTATTAAAGGGTAGTTCGGGGAGACAATTTCCCCCTAAAATATTTAAGAGGGTGGCAATATTTTTACGGTGATTCTAAATAAAATAAAATCGATTTTTCAATGGAAATTATTTATGAATAAATAAAATGATATAAAAAATAAACGTTATACTTTAAAATCTTTTATATTATTTAGTAACGTACAACATTTATATCTATTTAAGAGTATTTTATTTGATATGGTATTTTATTGAGATATAGGCATTGGTTTAATGTTGATTTGTATGAGGATGGAACATTCAATCCGAAGGGTACTAAATTATTTATGGGTATTTATAAAAGACAATTTTCTATAACTTTATTTATGTAATTATATCTGTTATTATTTTGGATTTAATATGAATTACAAATATTGTGTAAAAGTGTACTGAAATGGGAAAAATGAATCGCGAACGGCTTTTTAATGAATAGTTGTAGACATTTGTTTTCAGTCTTACACTTCAGAGAAGAAGAGCGGCAAAATGTAGTTGCTCCTGATCGGAAAAATTTTAAATATGGCCCTGTATACACACATATCAATTGGTGAGCATTATCTTATTATTAAATACACTAATCGTCGTTTCCGTTTACAATTCTAGTCGTATGTCTGTAGGTGAAAAACGTATTTCTTGCGAATACCAAAGGATTAATTTAATGCGATATATTAACGCGTAAATGTATTAATCATTAAGATGATTTGAATAAGGCACCTAGATACGTGCATTTTTCCAATTTTCCGAGCACTTTTTACTACGTCTAAATAAAAATACTGGGAACCGATAAGCCGTTGATTGGTACCAACGATGGTTTTTAATTTAATTTTTATCTAATCGGAATTTGATAGCAAATCACCAAGACAATATCGCAAAACACGGAATTTTGCGATGCACGTTCTGCGCAGAATGTACGTGATTCGGCTATAGTGTCGTAAAAAACATCGGGCTAACCATGGTCAGGTAACACTGCAACACAACGTTCGGATTGTCGTGCACTACAATACGGTAAAGTATATACGAGTCGGCAACGGAAGAGACGCGCGAACGCAACAGCAAACGGTACAATGAAGGGTTTCCAACATCTGTTCGATCGGCATCGACCGCCGTGCACCGCTTGGTGTTGCGGTGTGAACGATGAGTCGGGCTGGGGAGGGACAGGCGCGCATGGAGGTAAACCGTATGTTCGGTGAAAGCGACGAGAACAGTGCTGCTCGCCTATCACGATCCGCATAGTACACGCGCGGTACACATAGTGTGATACGACGGATTGCGGAGAATCACACAAACGCACAATAAAATTAAATAATAATAATAATAATAGTCGTCACTGGTATCATATCGCTGTCGTGGTTGTCGTCCGCCGCCGCCGCCGCCGCCGTTGGTTATCACGAAAATGTGTTATTCGTCACATTCGTCTCTGCCGATCGTGTGGCCGTCGTCGTCCGTCAATGCCCGACGACTATCGTGAAAAACGACGTTCATCGATTTTCCGCGTTCCGTGATTATTGTTCCGCTCCGGTATTGTCGCGCGCGCGCGCGCGCTCTCGTCATCGCTTCGTCAGCGTTTGCCAACCGTTCGTCGATCGCTAACCCGTACGGTCGGACGCGGAAACCATTATTACGCCTACACACACACACACACACACACAGCGCCTGCTCCGTGGACATACGCGTCGTCCACTCGTACGTCCGTGTGCCGCTGCCGTTCGCGTTCACCATTCCGGTTTTCTAGTGAACCGATCGCTCTCGGTTTTCTACCCACCGCTGACGACTCCGTCCAGTCGTCGGTCCGTGTCGCGGTCAGGTACACTCGTACGCGCGCGCACACGACCATTGGTCGACCAGCTGCCGTCCGTATAAATGACTCGAGACGACTAGTGCACGCGCGAAAATGGGACAAAAAGTTAGCAGTCTCGGTGACGTGTTCTCTTGGAAGAACGGAGAGTCGTCCAGAAACGGAGAGTCGTCTAGAAATGGAGAATTGTCCAGAAACAGTGAAGCCTCAATGGCTTCAAATGATGGTAGACCTATGGCCACCGATGGCGTTAGTGTGTCGAGCAACAAAGCGCCGGACAGGCAGCACTTTGAAAACATTTATGTCGCAAATGCAGCTGACCCGCAGCCATCGTCTTCATCACAGCCTCTACCTTCACCGGACGTGATTTGTCCAGAACACCCGAGATGTTGCAACGCTTCAACACTGGTCGTTAACGACACTGCTGCTGCTGCTGCTGACACTGCTGAAACCACAACGAAGAACATACAGACCTCTTCCAAAAGTATCTCTGGCTCCAAGAAGCTTAACCACTGGGTGTTACGATTCAATTGCTCCAGGCCAAAGTCAAAGAGTACTAAATGCTGCACCACTCCACCCCAGAGTGTGCCAGAAACAAACGAAGTTAAATGTGTGTGTACTCGATACCAACGCACAGACGATCATCATCAAAGCGCTGGTATGATTTTTGATACTACACAAGCCATTGAAGAGGAGCAAAGTGACGACGAGGAACTGATGCCACCGCAAAATGATATGCTAGACTTTGAGGGCGCGTTTAATACTTTCAATGCGTTCGAAGGTCATAGTGAATTAGTGCTACCATCGTTTGATGATGTCGTTCCATTGGACTTGGATACGGATATGGGTAGTGAAGACTTTATGAATGAAGACTTTGAAGACAGAGCTTATAGAGAACGGGCGAAAGAAATCCAAGAAGGCATAGATCCACCTCCAGGATTCAGGCCCGGAGTTATACAGCTGTTAGAATTAGGCTGGCCTAAAAGGACAATAGATAGTTTAACATCAATGTTCAATTATAGAGCTGCAGTCACTGCTATTACTGTACGTGATATGGATGACAGTCATATAATACATACATCCATTGATTATATCCATTATTTAGTTCCTGATTTGCTTCAAATCACAAATTGCTCGTTTTATTGGGGCAAAATGGATAGATATGAGGCTGAAAAATTACTTGAAAACAGACCTGAAGGCACTTTTTTACTTAGAGATTCCGCTCAAGAAGAGTATTTGTTTTCTGTAAGCTTCAGAAAGTATGGCCGATCCTTACATGCACGAATTGAACAATGGAATCATCTCTTTAGTTTTGATTCAAGAGATCCTGGTGTATTTGCATCTTCTACGGTTTGTGGACTTATAGAACATTACAAAGATCCTTCTTGCTGTATGTTCTTTGAACCTATGTTGACTATACCATTTCCAAGAAACTTTACTTTTTCTCTACAACATACATGCCGCGCAACTATATGTAGCCAAATTACCTATGATGATGTAAATCAATTAAAACTTCCAAAATTATTAAAATCATACTTAAAAGAATATCACTATAAGCAGCGAGTAAGGATACGTCAATTTGATTCAGAAAATTAGATCCTTTTTTTTTTTTACAAATCATTTAGTTCAATTATATTTTATTTCAATAATTTAAATACATAATTAAATATTTATTACATTATTTATTATTTAAAATGTTTATTTTGTTACTAGCACAATTTTTAAAAAAAATTTGAAATTGATACCCGACATGTCACAATAAATTAATTGCTAATTTACTTCTTTTGAATACATCATATGATTTTACAATATATAATTTTTACCTAACAATATTCATTCAACAAATTTTCAAAACTAATAAATATTTAAAACTGACATATTTTCACCAAAATTTAATTCTTTACCTTCCTGTTTTGGTTCATTAAAATTATAGGTAGATAAAGTATGCTAAATAAAAAATAATCGCTTAAAATTATATTATGTTTATTAAACTATAAATATTAATAAATTATTTTTTATTTATTTTTTTTTAATAAAAATGTTTTATTTTTAATTTTGGTGGTAAATTTATCCATTTTATTATAGTTATTATTTACATTTTATGTGTACAAAATAAATTTCAAAATGTAATATTCTTTATATTGTCATTATAAGTTACAAGTTTAAATACAAATATATACAATTCCTGATATAATCTTATATAAAACATGTTAATATATATTTACACACAAATGTATAATAAAATATGTGATGTATTTATTATTTTAAGAGAAACTCTGTAAATGTTTATAATATGATAGACTTGAAGTATCGATATTATTGAAGATATTATCAATGTTTTCCGTTATTTTCATATTAATGTTAAAATATTTATTAAATTTTTTTTAACAATTTTTTACATAATTATTGTTAAATTTGATTACTTAATCATGTATATATGTAACAATTATAAAATATTGAAAGTATATTTACAGCTGTAAGAAAGTAGTTTTCTTGTTTTTACTACTTTTTTATATTAATTTCTAAACAAATATTTGAGTATATATCTTAGCATAAAATAGGTTAAAATTGTTAATCATATTTACTATTATTATAATTTATTATAACGTTATTATTAGCATTAATATTTTATACCCGTTGTAAAATGCATTAAGATCTAAATGTATAATATATAAGAGATTATTATTTATTAGTTATGCAAAAATATTTTTAAGGCATTTGCATATAAATGTTTTGTCATCATAAATAATAATTTGATGTGATATAATATATGTATATACAAATGTATATACATATATACATATAAATATATGTATGTCATTCAATAATATTTTAAAAATATTTTTTAATCTTGCCACTTTATGAAATTTACATCTAATAAAGTATAACTTTTAATGCATTTTGAAAAATTTGATTTTGTTCTTTATTAATTTTACTATATTTTTTCCATCAACAAATCATTTGTTGATAATGAATGTATTTTAGATTTTGTTTAACTATCTACTAAAACATAATCTATGCATTTTATATTTATTAATAGTATAATGCCATATTTGAAAAACTTAACCTTATGATATTTTTGGTTATTAATAGTAATATAATTATTATTCATTCATTCATTCTTCTACCTACAAATGTAAAATCTGTTAGATAATATTATAATAATATTATTACTGTTAATATTGAAAAGTAATTTAAAAAAAATAATAAACAAATACTATCTGAATGTCTAGTAGTGAATTTTCACTTACATCTAAAAAAAAATATTTGATTTATACTTAACACATGGATAAATCAGATGCAACATGAAAATGTGTATGAAATATCAACAACATATTTATAACATAATAGATACTTTACAGGAAAAATACCTAAAAATATTGGGTTTAAATTTTATTTTCAAAACAGCTATCACTAAAATATTTAATATATATAACCTAATAATTAAAGAACCTATAGTAACAATTATTAATTAATATAATTTATATATATGTTCTTATTATTACTATAGTATGCATATTGTAAATATTTTAAGTATAATATACCTTGACAACAACTGTGTTGGTTTTGTTTATTAGTACTTTAAATATTCTATAAATATTTATTTCATTATTATATTGAAAGTCAACATTTTGTGTGATAATCTGAATACAAAAACTAAATAATATGTTTAATAAATCGGGAAAAACAAAAAACTATGTTAATATAGCAAATAACTATAAAAATACTTCAGTAAATGTTAACTATAACAGCCAAAATAGAAAAAATTCAATTGAAAATCCAGTATCCAGTGAATTATATATTTACCTGAAAACTAAAGAAAAAAACGGCATAAGCTTGTGAGAAATAACGATCTATTTACCAATAACTATTTTCTATCATATATTTTTATAATAAACATATACATTCTCATAGGTATACTCATATTCAAGCTTTATTAGATATCTTTATTTTTCAAAATCCAATACAACCTGTAAAATATTTTGAGTATTACAGTGAAAAACTTAAGGAGACCTATCATAAATTGCAGCTAGATTCTGATGTAGATTTTTTGAATAATATTCAGTATGAAATCAATCAAAAGATATCAAATATATACAAAGTATTATAAGATGTTTTAGTATAGAATACAAATATGAATAATATTCTTGCGTTCTTTTTTTAGGATTCCAGAATTAAAAATGTAGAAAACCAAAATGTACAAGAAAAAACAAGTTTTTTATCAAATGTAGATGAAATTTCAAGATATGAAGGTGAAAATGAATTTGAAGAAGATATCTACTACACTGCAAAGTCAAATGAGGTTATAGTACAAGACATAACAAAAATTAATTATATGTTCAATAAAGCAGGATGTGGACTAACAAATGATGAAGCTAATCTGATCGGAATAACTATGAATGAAATATCACATCTAGAAAAATTTAAAAATATCAGGTGAATATTTTTAAATTTAGCATTAAATACCAACTATGTATTTATATTTATAAAGCAAACTAATACTTTATTTTGATTTTGCTGTAGATACTGGGGCAAAATATTAGGTTTGAAACATAACTATTATATCTTGGAGTGTGAATGGAAAGATAAAGAATTAGAATATAAACTGAGGGTAAGGAACATAAATTATTAAAAATTTATGAATTGTATTATATTTATATAATTAGGTACATGGATAAATAATAATATTATTTTATTTCTCCTAAATTTTACATTTTTATCAATGATCAATTTTTACTAAATCTACCAGTTGTTTGATATCATTATTACATTAATTTTTTATCTTAATTGTAAATAATACCCAGTGTATTAAAATCGTTGATAAATAAAATATATTAATTTAATGCTAACAATATACTTACAATATAAAAGATATGTGTTTACAATTTGCCCACCTCTGTTCTCTCAATATTTTTAATTTTTCATACTTGTTTGCCACCAATTGAATGTAATTTGTAGGTACTAACATCAACTGTACTAATCTATTTTCTACTTGATTCAGATCCTTAACCATATGATGAGCAACAAGGTATCCGATAATAACAAAGATATTTATGAAAATGAAGAACAAGTAGAATATGATGATAGTTTATTCATGGGATACCACGAACATGTAGAAGAAAATGAATCATTGTTTTCCTCTCCACAAATAGTTAACAATAAATATTTTAATAACAAATCTGAACATGAGTTTATTGATTCCCAAAAATCAAATCCATTATGTTCTGTTTCACCCACGGAAATCGGCACTGATGATCACTTATCTAATGAAATGTTTGGATTCGGAGTTAATAAAAAGGTTCATAATATTTTTATTAGTTTTTAGTTTTTAAAAAACATTTGTACAAATAATCTATTACTTAGTCATATTTTGTTACAAATAAACTTTATAACGAATGGATCGAGTTGCCACTGCTCAAATCTCACCATGTAATTCAAGCACGCAATATTAAACGGTATTTTATTGGAGACTTGGAATCACACGTAAAACAATCATAAAGAATATTGTTATTTAATTGCTTATTTATATAGCATCTCTAATTTATAATTTTATACGTGTAGGTTGAATCTTATCCTTCATTTCAAGGTTTGGAAAAACATTATCTTAGAGCTCAAATCGCAAGAATAACAGCTGCAACACAAATATCGCCATGCAATTATTTTATACTCGATACTAACAATACAAGTCCAACGAAGTGGAGAAAATTAAGTTCTTTCCAATCGAAAGTTATGTCGAAAAAATGTGAGAATTTTTTAATGATAAATACTTATTTAAGCTTTATAGGTAATCTAGACTAGTTTTTTATTAGTGTCATTATGCTGTCAATTTCACTAAATGTGTCATATGAGCATGAATCGATTTAAAATTTTTTTTCAATTTATATAAATAAAATTTAATATTTTACCAGAAAGATAGTTCTCTTACTCTATCATATAACACTGTATACAAGCATCTTAATTATTTACCTACTGACATTTCTGTGTTTAATATTATCCATGTATAATATATATTGTTAATGTGCGATAAGCCATATAGACTATATGTAAGATAGATATTAGCTCATAGTTATTAGCTAGGTATTCATTTAAACACAATTTTTTCAAAAACCAATAAACATTTAATTTTGTAAAAATATTGTACTCTTAGTAAAATGTTGTATGAAGCTTAATAAATTTAATTATATTCTAATATATAATTAAATCTATCTTTTACCTATCTATTCTGATACTCATCAGTTATTTATCAATCGGGTAGGTTAGCATAAATTAAGCAAAGCATTCATTTTCTCAATTTCATGAAACAGCATACTTTATAATGTATATTATTCATTTTTCTAGGGATCCATGATTATACAGAAAACCAAAATTTCATTTCACCGTCAATATATGCTTTGCTAGAACCAATCAACTGGGTTCATCATGTTCCTATGATATCAGATCAAGGAGTAACATTGGCATGGACTAAAATACTGAATGAAGATGAAAATAAGGTAAATTGTTAGTTGTTTTAACCAAGTACATCTTTAACAGTCTTTCTATAAGTATAGACATTGTTATATCGGTGTAGATAAAAATGTTAACTGAGATTCACAGAATTTTAGTAACAGAAAATAAACCGAATTACTTATTATTTACTAAATAATAAGTCATAATAAGTATTTATATTTTATATACAAAACTTAAAAACTTAAAAATACACTTACACATATGATAAATACAACAAATTGTGGACTTGAAAATATTATCATGATTATAAATTATTATTATTATTGTTATTTTTAATTACTAATATTTATACTACCTTAAAATTTAAATTGTTCTTCATATTATACAATTAAAGTTGTTGATTATCATGTAAATAACAATTGTCAAAATAATATTAAGAAAAAAATTTGTTAGATAAGTATTTATGGGCCCCACATGAGCATTCTCAGTGGGGCTCATTATTTAGTTGAAATAAAAATAAATAAATATATGGTTTAAATAACAAAAATATTAGAAACCTTTTAAATAAAAATGTATAAAATTTAGTATAAATATTAAATATATTAACAATATTAACAATGATTTCAACTATTGTTTTCAAATTTTTAACAGAATATTTCTATGTATTTAGAAATAATTTTTTTACCTTAACGTTATCAAAATTTTATTTTTATTTTATATTTATGATAATTATTTTAACCAGATATCTAGTGACAATATTCAGGCACCGATAGCTGAAGATTCCGAAAGCCTCAAATTAGGCCAAGACTGGTTTACAGCTCTGTCCGAAGATACATACGTTGGTCTATTGACTCCTTGGAAATGTGAAATGACTAATCCATTTGACCATGAGGCTTCATATGTGACTATCAGATCTCATATTTGGCCTGGAGCATTCGCAGTTACGCGTGATAAGTATATAATATTACACCAATATCATTATACTGTACATACACCTCGATTATTATTTGGTTAAATATAATACTTCTATAAATATGTGAGCTGAATAGTGTGTATAGAAATATTAGGATCAATACTCATGAAAACACAATTTAATATATATAATGTCAGTATTTTATTAACAGAGTGCAAAAAAAAATACTTAATATAACACCAAGGATTTGTATTATAACATCTGCCTTAGACGTTAATGAACACAAACACTTAAACTGCCACTAATCTTCTAACCTACTTTCATGAAATATTTATTCATTCACGCTAAACTGATGTACACAAATAATGAATTGATTGTGAACCTTTTTTACACCAGCGTAGCATTGATACTCTAGTAGTAGAAAAAGATACGAACCCTCTTTATTGACCTTGTTTTTAAATTAAATAAATTAATGTATGATTTTAAATTTTTAAATAATTATAAAATATTTAAATAGAAACTATATTACAATGGTATGTAATGTATTGAGTCTGAATTTGTATTCTATTGTTATTTTGATGTATTATATATTATTATGTACAAATATTTATTTTTATACTAATAACAGTTTAAGAAACATTTTTTAATAGAATAAAATGTAAATGATAAAGTTCCTTAATAATAATTACAATTTCAATCTTTAATGATAAAAATGAATTAAGTATTTTATCTCGAGTCAGCTTTTTAAAAATGAAATGTTTTTGAAGAACAACTATTGCTAAAAATTTTTGAAAAGATCAGTTAACGTTGAACAGTATTTATTATTTAAAAAGGTCATGTTACAGATCAAAATTTCACTTACTTATTTAAAGTCAAACTTAATTAATTGTATGGTTAATGTCTTACAGTTCATATCCAAAAAATGTTTTGCCTTAAAATCTTCAATATATGAAATCTTGTATATTTTCAATGTAATCTCAATTAGTCTAATAATTAAATATTTTCTTCAAGTCAATAATTTCTATTTTAAGTGAAGATGTAGGAAGTCTGAACAACTTAGTAACAAAAAATGTTTTAAGGTTTTTTAAAAAGTACGACAGTTTTTCAATCTCTGCCAAGTTTTGAGACTCTTATTAAATTCTTCACCTAGGTCTGACTGAGAACTTAAAAATACATTACATCCAAGTGAATATTTTTGGTAGTCCATTTATTTCCTCTCTACTGTCCGGATTTGGAACATGGGCCGCCTATTGCTTCCAATTCTTGTGTTAGATGTTAATAAATACCTAATACCTAATAAATTTTATGTATGTATGTCATGTTATACAGTTTATTAATTTATATTTATACATTTTATATCTATTTTTATAATGCATTTTTGTTTTATAGTATTTTAGATTATACTTACAACGGTTGGGGTCTCAAATGGAATGTTATTGATTATACTCCTCAAATGCCGAATGAATATAAATTTGAACATTTGAAAGATACAGAAGAAACAACTGAAATCGCTGATCCAACTCATGCAGATGAACAGTCATTTTTCTCACATGTCCAACGATTAAAAGAACTTAAGAAAAATATAAAAATGGGTTTAAAACCGTTTACAATGTTCTATGGAGACGAAGATGATGAAGAAAAAATCATTAATAATTACGATTACAATTAAAATCAGCTTTTGTCATATTTATTTTATTGTTGGTTCTTATCTGTTGATAAAAAATTAGTATTAGTGTTGTTTTTAGATTTAATTGACTTTTATCAAAATTTTGAAATAATATTATGTGTTCTAATTTTTTAGATCATTTTAAAATATAACAAATTCTATATAATAATATATCTATCAATAGCTTTAGCTACATTAAAATCCAAAATTATTAAAACCTGATATTGTTAAACAGTTGATAGAGAGCATAGGTAGTTTTGTTTTTTATAAGTATAGATTTTATCATACAGTTCATTTTATTAGTTAATAAGATTCATAATTTTAATTTAATTATATTGTAGAAATAATAATTAGAAGGATTTAAACCCCAAGTAATTTAAAATTTTAGTCTTCAAAGTCACTAGGTGAAATTGTTTATAACAGTTTTTAAATCGGTCTTGGAGGTGGGGGGCTAGGCTCTCTTGTTTTTCTTTTTAACTCCATTGTAAATATTTTATCAAGTAATAAATTTATAATTTTTTTTTAATTAAAAATTAATCTATGTATACAAATTAAAAATAATAAAACTTTAGGTTTACAAGTTGATATGTTTACAAGCACACCTAATATTATAAATTTATCTAGAGTATCATTAAAGTAATATTAATATTGTAATAACATAAAAATGAATAAGTTCTCAATTGATCAAAAACCATTTTAAATTTTAAACAAAAGTTACATTTATTTGTTGTTATTTTACATATGTGATTAATTAACATGGTTTTTATTGTAAAATAATCATAATTAAACAAAATGTATTGGAAATTCAATGAAAACTGTGTTAGTTAATTAGATAGTAACAACAAATTAATATCATCTTTGTTTATCTTGCAGTTTTTTTAAAAGAAAAAAATTTAATTTATAGCAGATTTAAATCCTGCATTATTTTTGAAACATCCTATATATTTAATTTTTACAATAATAGAACTTCATTAATACTATATTAATTATTACAATGTGACATATGTAATTATTAAAAACCAATAATGTAAATAAGAATAGGTTTATATTTGTATTATTTACATATTTTATCTTATTATAATTATCATGTTGTAATACAATGTATTTTTCATTAAAAATGAAATATAGCAATTACAATTCAATATTATACATATTGCAATGAAATATTAAATATATATATATATATAATTTCTATTCATATAAATTGGTCCATAGATAAATATATATATTATTAATAAATACTTTCAAGGTAAATAAAATTGTATAAACCCAAATTCTACTTATCAGAAATTATCTTTATTAATCACTGCAAAATAAATTAAATAAGTCTTATTTTAGAACAGCAGAACATAAAATAATATAAGAGGTATGTTTCAAGTAAAGCTCCCAATACACGTGAAAAACGTGTTTATCCAAAATATATATCCGTTTTTATAATAACAAAATTAATAATTTTGTGCAAGAATTAGAAGTTTTAATAAAATATTATTTGTCCATAATTAAGATAAAGTTATACGTTTTTATATTGGATTTAACGCGTGACATAAAACACATGAATTCACGTGTATTAAAAGCTCCAATTTCAAGTATTGTAAATGACAATAAATATAACAACCTATTATTTAAAATTAATTAATAATTTAAATTAGGAATGTAAATGCAAATGATAAACTCTTCCAGTACAAGAAATATTAAATATACATTAACAGAAATAATGTTAATTATGTTTATCTTGATGATTATTCATTTTTAAATCCTTTCATATTCACTTTATTACATTTTCTTAGAAAAATATATTTGAAAAGTTTACAAGAGAATATAAAAAATAATACATTTTAATGTTAGGTATGTATTTAAAAACATTATACAAAAATGAGCATTGTACAATTTTTATTAACAAATGCAAATATGGTATCCCATCCTGACTGACACAAATGTAAAAGTAGAAAAATACATTACAAAAGTAGTATTTAAACCTAACAAATTTTTGTTTTGGCTAAAAATAGTAACCTGGTGCTCATATTACACTAATTAAATATTTTATGTTTCACATAAAATAGTCATTGAATAACTAAATTGATTAGGATTGAAATAAGTAAAATAACAAATGAAGTTTATATAAATTATACATGTAAGAAGCAATTATTTTTTTAATATAAAATATTTTAGTGTATAGAATAATGCAAAGCAAGTTATTACACAAAAGAAATTATTTTAACGTAAATCAAAACAAATTAAAAATGATCAGCTTAAAAGCTAATATATGGCATGTAGTTAAACAAGAAAATCTTAAGTTAATAACTTAATTACTTTTAAGTTAATATGGTACATTTTGACTAACTTTAGTATTGATTGGTCATTTTGATTAAAATAATTTAGTACAGTAGAAATGTACAAATAATAAATAGTTCAGTACTCTTATATAACACTATTACTAATACAATATAAATAGTTCATTAAAAATAACCATAGAAAGATGTTTTACCATAAACACAAACATACAACATGTATTTTGAGAAATAAATAGTTTTATATAATATAAATACAATTCAATGATGATAAAAACAACTAAAATGTTACAAGTTAATAACCAAAAGTTTTTTTTAAATCGTACTCTATGTTAAAATTTAATAAATATACTTAATTTTAAAGTACAATATAATTTTTTATAATGGATACATGTTAAAAATAATCTCTAACAGACGCAATTATCAGCAAAAAAAAAAAAATTATTTACTTTTAACTTTTTCAAAAGAAGGCATATTAACAATGGATGATACTCAATTCCCTAAATATACCTATTATTGAAAAATTTAGGAGTATATGCAGATAATAGAAAAAAATCACTATAGTAACTTAAAAAGCAATAATTCTAATAATAATCACAATATAGGTGATATTACATTTTCTTTGTTATATCAAAGTCATAATTTACTTTTTAAGATAATATAGCAATACTTTTACGAGCAATTGTTGAACTGCTTATATTATCTAGACTAGACCATTTTTTTATGCCATTTTTTAGAAATTCTGCTGTTATTTTATCTTCAAATACTCTAGACATAGCTTCCAATTTCTTAGCTCGTTCTTTGCTTAATGGTTCTGCTGGAAATGTCAATTCATTATCTTCGGCCAACGAACGTAAATCAAAATAATACTTGGCATATACACTGGATGGAACATTGATGTTGAACTGAAGCATCTCCAAGAATTGACGCTCTAATTCATTCCTAATTTTATTAAATGTCCTCATTAAAAAAATATATTTATTTAACTTACAACTATAGTTGTATAAGAACTAATGACAAAATTCAACAATATATTTAGTAAAAACACTATTATATTATCAAAAATTGCTTGCATCTAATATTTTTAAACTCTCTATACCATAATGCATACAATTTTTCTTATATGCAACAACACTAGGTTTATTTTTAAACTAAATAGAAGAATTAAAAAAAAAAACACTAGATAACTACTTTGGAAAACATTAAATTATTTAAAAGAAAATCAACCCTATGTTTAAAACTGGAAAATATAACAAAATTAAGCTACCCAAGAGATTAAACTCTATTTTAATTTTAATTTACTTTAAAATTAGGATCTTTGTACATTTTGAAAAAATGTAAATATCTGAAAATAATAAATAAAAATATACAACTATAATTGAATTCAATTTTTTTTTAATGTATATATTGTGTATATTCAATTATTTTTATAAAGATAAATTAAAAAGTTAAAAAATAAAAAATTAAATTAAAAAAAATAATAATAGAAATTATAATCGGTAGAATTATTGAAAATAAACAATGGGTAAAAAGAAAAGAATACTTGTTTAAATTAGACATACATATCTTCTACAGTAATATCCTTAAGAATTTGACAGTAATCTACATTCCATACAGCCTGATCATCCCATACTTTAGAAGCTAACAGTATAGCTCCCAGGACAATTCTCTTCCAATTTGCTGGTGTAATATCAACTTCTGCATAAGTTAATAATCTAGAATAAAAAAAATAATATAAAACATCAAAAAAAAATCATTAATATTAATAAATAAAGAACTTTACCTTTCTAAATAAACTAATGTTATAATAGCACATTCAGCAGTTAATTGTGCAGCGTTAAATAATGTTCGAACAAATTTATATATTTGACGATGTTCTGGACTATGAACATCATAATTGTCAGGTACTCTATCTCTCTAATAATTAAAAATAATAATAGCTTAAAATATTTAAGACAATAATAAACAATAATAATAATTATTATACCAAAAAATATTTTAATACATAAATTATTTATAACAATTTGCTTTGTATAAAACTTACAGTTAAGGGATGTAATTTTTCATCAAAGATTTCAATTTGTCTTTCGGAAGTTCTATTTTTTATATGATAATAAATTGCAAGTGCTACACATTTAACAGTATTTTTTAGATTTGGTTGGGATACTGTACTGTCATCCAAATATATAGTAGAACATGAACTACTTTTTTTGAGAGATCTAAAGTCAACAATCTGTAAAAGTAATAAATTACTTAAATGTTAAGTTTAAACTCATTAAAATTTTTATATTTTAGAATAAAGACAATTTTTTAAAGAAAAAATGATTTTACTGTAAATCAATAAAATATTATTCAATTCCGAACAAACCTGAGATTGACTTTGTTTTCTTGTTAAACCATCTACAAAAAAAAAAAAAGTTTCAATATATATTATTAACAAATTTAATTGGTAAGAACTATTAAGATTTAGGATATTACTTATAATCCAAGAAAATTTCCAGAATGAATAAGTATTAATATGGTATTGTTTATTATTTTATTATAAATAAAAATATATATGAGGTCTGTCCCAAAAGTATCCAACCTGGGTTCATAATTCTGCGCCAAAATGTTAGTGCAACCTTGTGGTTGGATATAATTGTACCTAGTAACTACTGAAAAATATTTTGTCTGTTGCAGAAGCTAATAATACATGTTAATTCGCATGCAGCTTCACAATTGTTTACAGCAGTGGTTCCCAACCGAGGGAGAATTCCCCCCTCCCCAGGAAGGAATTTAGATACTGAATGGGAGAATATATTTTTGATAATATAATGAGAATTTTATTTGCCCTGCGAGTATTAATCCCATTTGTATCAACATATCTCTGTAAGTCAAGCTTTTCCACGCTTTTGCAAATAAAAAGCAAACAAAGAAATCGTATGAATATGGAAAATGATATGCGTTGTCTGTTATCAAATATATTCCCACGAATTATGGACTTGGTAAGAAAAAAACAAACTCAAATTTCGCATTGATTTAATTTTACCGTCATATTTAATTATTATTTATAAAATTTTATTCAAAAATGTATTAACTATAAAGTTGATTTGTATTTTATTTTTAAAATGATGATAAAAAAAAATGTCATTAGTTGTATAATATATTATTATATTATAGATATAGTTATTTTGCAAAATTTTCTTTGTAGGGCTTACTAAAAAGGTAGGTCATCTTATTTCTAATTTAAGGGAAGAGTGCATGAGATTTTTTAAAATGTACAGGGAATAGAATAAAAAAAGGTTGGGAACCACTGGTTTACAGTATCTTTACGTTCATCTGATTTTGTTATCGCTGAAAATGTCAGAAAGACATGACCAGGTGGTGGACACAACCAATGCTCGACTTGGAAAAATTAAAAATGGGAGACTCTATTTATTTAAAAAAAAAAAAAGCGTACCCAGAACTTGTTAAGCGTTATATTTATAACATAATAATAGTAGGGGGACGCTAAAATTTCTGTAAATTAGTTGGGGTACTCCGTCCCTTTGAGTCCCCACCCAAGTTGAGCACTGGACACAACACGACGGCAACGAAATCAGTGGCCATATTAACTGAGGTACTTTTGTTATCAAATGATAATCAGTGATAACTGATATTCGTTATTAATTGTAATTTCAATTATGGTAATTGTTCAATATGTGATCTACCAAACAGTGTGAAACATGGTGACCTATTGGGTACCAAGAAGTTTTTACTCGTAGATCATTTTTTAGATAGTATATCTACCATAATAAATGCCCATGTGCAGGATTTCAGAATGGGAAGTGTTTAAAAAATAGAAATGTATAAAATAGATTCATGGATGATTAAATAGTATTATACAAGTATTTATATAAATTTTTTAAGTATATTAAAAACGTTTATATCGATATAATACTATAAAATGCAAATCATTGTTATAGTAAATTTACAAATACAATTGTAATACATTTACAAAAACACAATTTATAGGTATTTTTTTGGTAATGATGGGAGGTTGGGGGTTGATCTATGGTCATACCATAGTATAAGACTTATAAGCCCCCAAATCTCAAACTCATATTGCACCTAATACCTTGAAAAATAATACTACTATTAGTAACATTTGAAAATGCGCAGTAGCTTATAAAGAATATTACTACCGTTTCATGATGGAATAAAATGTTACTAACTTCCTACTATACCTCAAATAAAATGGCTGACTGATTTCATTATTGTCTTATGCTGCCCATGTAATTTTTTATCACTGTCTATTCTGTTTTATTCTGTGACATAAGCAACGAATTTGCATAAAGGTTTGCATTAAGCTTGAAAAAAATTGTGCAGAAACTATTGGTATGTTACAAAAGAAATTTGGGGATAAGTGAATAGGAAAATATAGATAAAATAATGGTACTAACGGTTTAAAGATGGTCATCAAAATGAAAGTTTCCATCCGATTCATGACCAAAAAAAAACTCGTCATAGTCGGAGCAATGTCAAGACCAGGTTGATTGTTTTTTTTTTATTATGAAGGTATTGTGCACCATGAATATCATGAAGTCAGACAATCAATAAAGAATTTTATGTTGAAGTTTTGAAAAGATGCAGTGCAAAGAAAATGGCTCCATTTTTGGGTGATTGGCGAGTGATTTCTTCATCACAATAAAGCGCAGGAGCATTTTTCAAACCTGGTGCAACAGTAAGGATTCCACAGGCCAGATGATGATAAATAAAGCCAATGCAAAATAATAGATGAAAGTTTACTTTTACCCCATTTATATATGCATTTAAAAATAAAATTAATTAATATTACATTGATAAATTTAATGTTTCTGTCAATCACACACATATTAGTTGATTATTTAATCAAAATGTATACAATTAATTATTCAGTACAGTATATATTCTCAGAAAAAAACTTGTAAATAATATTATATTAATTATGTATTATTTTATCAAATTAAGTTTTCAAATAATAATAAAACCGAACATAAACTATCAATAATATTTCTATCACCTATACATGTATTATTTATCATTAAATGTGAAATTAATAAATATTAATTAGCTACATAAGAAAAATAAAATTGTTTTTTTCATATTTACAATAAATTAATAGAATTACCATTCTATTTGAGAGGAAAAATTATGCTACGTTATTAATCAAAAACATGGAACCATGTAGCTTTGGTAGAAAACCCATGAGATAATTTCTTTTATACAATATAAATATATTTATAAAACATTTCAAGTACCTACTTTTAATCTTTATGTCTTTTATAGTTTTTAGGTATTTTGAATGTTATATATATATATATATATTTATTGGGCATAAGTCATGATTTAATATACAAATGATTAATTTACTTTATTAAATATAATAAAAAACATAATTGCATCTTACATATTGGTACTACACATAAAATTGTATATTATACTGCACACATATATTTATTTATAAATATGATTGAATACACTTGTAAATGGTGTACACTAATATATACTTCTTGGTTAGATATAAAGAAAAAAGACGGGGATGCTTCCTGGAATTAATTTTTGTAGTATATAATCTATTATTATTGAGTACTAGTTTGTTATTTTTAATCATATTATCTTTAGAAATCAATAAGTATTATTGTATGCTAATTATAAGAAAAACATTTTAGGAAAAGGTACTTGATTTTTGGTCTATGATAAAGCGTGATTTTAATATTTTTTTCCAAGCGTGTAAATTTCTAGTTCCGCCTCTGATTAAGTGTACATAGGTACTGGGTTTAAATAAGAAACTTACTTTCGACTTTGGATCTTTCTAAAAATATTGTCGCGACTTTAGGATGAACAGATGGGTCTGTGTTCCAGTCATCGTGCTCGCGTTCACTAATGTGTTGTAAGTTGCCAACACTCTCCTCGCCCTCTTGTGGAAATTCGTTTATAGCACCGTTGACGTCCTTGCGCCTGGACAACGGGCTAGTATACGAGCAACAGCTGGTCCAATTACCCATGATATCCAACAAGCAAATGCTTTTGTCAATAAACATGAATGTTACGAACAACGCGGAGAAACAGTCTCTTATATCACGACATAATATTACTTCGATGTCGTTTCACGTGGCGACAACAACTTAGCACTCTGTACGATGTCAGCGACCAATCGGATTGTCGCGGTGAATCGCGGTATCGCGGAGACTAAGTCAAAGATTAACGGGCGTGTGCACCTTACATTTGTTGGAAGAGATTAGTGTTATGTTAATTTTTTTTCGACGTTTCTATCCAACCCAGTACAAAAAACAAACTTCAACCGGTCGACATTATAATACTGTTATTACTGTTCGCCACGACTCACAGCCGGCACTGGGCAATAATACAATATTAATATAAATAATGAAAATAACAATAATAATATATGTGTGTTTACACTTCAAAAAAACTCATAGTTATACTATGCACACATAACCAAGAAATCAATCTAATCAGTCGTATGATCGGCGTGTTCGTGTGATAAAGACACGGGTTAGTGAAAGGACGACCACGACTACTATTACGACAGTACGACGATTTTGTTATATTAACATTGCGCCCAAACCGGAACATTTGAACAAAAACAAAAAAAAGACGACGCAAACCATATTTCAACCGATAACGATGACATCGAAGCAGTACTATGTAGTTTACAATTAAAACAAATGCGTACTCGTTTGACTAATTAGTATCATATATTATCTTCTTAAAATCTGAAAATAACTGTAATAAAGCAGTGCCGGCGTTAAAGGAGCCCCACTCTTGTTAAAGGACCCCGTGATTTGTATTATTAATTATTAATTATCATCTTAATACCGTGAGACACATTGACATTTTATATCGACAAATTATAAATCTATAATATGCCTATCATCAGTTATTTAGAAAATGATATCTAAATTTAGCCATAGTACAAATTACAAAGTAAATCGTTATCGATACGACGAAAGCGTAATATTTTGACGATACCCGTCGATTAGGATTCCTACAATAAATAATAATATAAATATTTATTTTCTCTAAAGTAATTGTTTAAAATTCGAAGAAAAAAATTGTTTTTTTTTAAAAAAAGTTAGAATTTTGCGCCTCTCTGGGAACCTAAAGGCTAATACCTAAGTACAGGGCCCCGTAATACTTAGCGCCGGCACTGATAAAGCACTTGACTTAACACCGTACAGATGTACCTAAATGTCTGGTTATAGTAATAATATTTTTCACTCAGTTAACACTCATATATTGATATATAAATAAATATACAGAAATAAATAAATAAATGCTTGACCTGGGTATTACTGTATTTGTAAAGTAAGACCAGTTTCGAATTAAAAATGTATCATCAAGTATATACTAAGCCAATGAAAACGGACTCGTATAATTTTATACTAAGTATGACTCACGCAATTTTATTTCCTTTATATATACCTATTTGAAACTAGTTGTACTTTACAATTATAATAATATTCCAGGCTTAGTATTTATTTATTTATTTATATATTAATAAATACTATCAAAAATATAAATACTAAATATTATCATGTGTAATTTGATTAATAAAAAATTACTATTACTAAGAATTATGACTGATATTGTACTACAAATTATAATCATATGGAAGGGGGTAAAGGTCACATTAAAATTATGTAATTCTGTACATTATGTATTAAACAATATGTAGTACGAATTTTTATGAAAAATGGGGACTGCTATAAGGTAACCTATGTGTTTGTAAAATACTATTTTTTTTTTTAATAATTAATTTTATTAATAAATAGTAAATATTATTTTAGCTTAGAAATCAATCATTTATGTAAATGTATATAACTATGAGACTATTCTGAAGAATGAAAATGTAATAATCACGGACTCAGGTTTTGGAGTAACACTTTTACGTTAAGTGACAGTAAATGTCCGCCATAGTGATTTAGTAATCATTTTTGAAATAGATAGCGAACACAAGAATTTTAACGACGAATTGAGTGATTCGACCAGGCAAATTTTTTTAAGCCGGCCAACGCATTCAGTTACAACGTTCTTTCCAGTTAATAGGTAATTCATGACGCACCGGAGTGCAGACGTAAAAATTAACCTTTTTTTTTCTATTTTTTTTTTGTGGTAAAAATGATGTTAGCTCGAAATTTAAGTCCAAAATCATCGTTTTTACGATTACAGAATTATAACTGGATCGGTTACATTAACGAGACCGTCGAGCGTTCCGAGTTTCGATCGTCTGTACCTCAGCGTCTCCGTAGTAGGCATAATGTCGCGATTATATTCATCATTGTTCGTGCACAACAGCCCTCAGCCACCGTTGCGTTCCGATGCGCACCGTCCGCACGTTACACTTGTCGTTATCATTAAATTATTTTCCATCCGTATGAAAAAAAAACACGATATGTTAAAACACGCACACACATAAAATTGAATATCTCTACTCACACACTTATCATTTATTATTATTATTATTATTACCAATCATTATTAATTGTTTGCATTTCTTTCATAGCACATATTTTTCTCTGTAGTTCGCGACTGCGTATATAATTCTTCTGTTTTGAGTTTTAGGAAATTATTATTACTCCAACAACACACACACACACACACACACACGAAATATATTACGCATTTACGCACGCGCACACACGTTTACACATACGCGCGGGTGCGCGCCCAAAATCACAATCATCGGAATTTGTTTGTACACAGACATGTAACGTGAGTATTCGGCGATATCGGTGATTCGACGGAATCGTATACGCCATCCATCGGCAATCTCGAACACCCGGAAGGTATCGTCGCGCTTGACCGACGGCGTTTTCGATTCATTTTCGAAGAATGATCGTCTGTCTGATCGTCGTTCCACAGTGATCTCGTTCCCATAGGATTTCGTCGATAAATAATGAAAATGAGCGACGAAACGCCCGTCAGTTCTTTGGTTCTTCCAGTATTAATCAGGCCCATTCTATCTCAGGTATTTATTTTTATCACTGTATAATTATTGCAGTATTTGGTTACCGATAATAGGTTATATATCAATAATAGGTAGGTTTTAATTTGTCAATTGGTTATTTAACCTGTCAATGAGATCCACTTAGATTCTTATTAAAATTGTAGTCTATTTTACATTGTGTTCATAAATCCATGACTGTTTACAGTGACATAATATTAAATTTATCATTTTCAACTTCAAAATTTATCTTTAAAAGCTACAAAAAGAGATAGGTAATTTATTGTTCTACTGTCCTACTGTTTATTTAAAAATAAAATTTTTATCAATAAAATAACATTGTTAAATTATTTAGTTATATATATATATATATATATATATATATAATTAATTTCTCTGAACCTTCCAATATATTTTATAAATTTAATATTCAAACAAATTAATAAGCTTTAAAAAACTAACTCAGATAAATGTTATAGAAAATTGCTAACTATAAATAAGATAAAAAAAATGATTTTCTGAGACAAAAGAAACAAAAGCAGTAAGAGTGAAAATGAATACTGAAGGGAAAAGAGGAAGAAGACCAAAAAAAAGATGGATTAAATTAAGAATGATATGAAGGCTGTTGGCGTGTACATAGGGGATTTAGAAAATCGAGATAAGTGGAGATTTAGGACAAGGGTGGTCGACCCCAAATAGTTGAAAAAAAGGTGAAGGAAAAGAAGAAAATTTAATTTATATTATTTTAACATAATACCTATAGTATTTTGTAGATAATATTTCATTAGTTATTTATGTTGCAATGACACCAATTCTAAACACATAAAAATGAAAAAATGTAAGTTAAAAAGTTGTTTTGTTGACAATATGCATACTAACTGACATATTCATTAGTAAAGAATCTTTATTGAATGGTGCATAATTTTTACAATTCATCTAGAGTTACATTAGCCATTTCACCATTGAATTTATTTATTTATATAATTTATTATTAAATTTTTTTTCAATTAGAATTTTAAAATATTTAATGTTTAGATTATATGTTAAACATGATTATTTAAAATATTTATTTTTTTTATTTAATGATTTTCAGTTGGAGAAACATAATGTTTCTGCTTCTCAAACTTTACGGTCAGCATTGTTTAAAACAGAAAATACTCATCCAGGGTTCGCATACAATTTAGTAGCTGGTATAATGAAACAAGGTGATATTAGTATAAATATGAATGAGAGTGTTTTGAGACTTCAAGGCACGGTATCTGATCTAGAAGGTAAGATTTGATTTAATTATCAGTTAGTTAATATTAATAATTGATATAATTTTTAGTAAACTTACTTATATTTTTATTTTTTTAATTTATTTTAAACTCAAATCAATTTATACATAATTAAATATAAAATAGTATAAATATTTATAAGAAGAGTCTGTATGTTTCAAATGTTCTGATATATATGATATTAATTTATAATATTTCGCTTATCATTTTCCGATAAAAACACAAAATAATGATTATAATACATCTATACTTCTTGGATGATCTATTATTAAGAATTCATTTTTAAAGATTATAATAATATTATTTTTTTTTTGTGATCAATTGAAATACCAAAGTAATATATTAACTTATTTTAAACTTTTAGTTCGAAAGTTTGATCATAGAATTAAAGCATCATTATTAATTTATTAACTAATATACTGAAGTATTAAAATAGTTTATATATGTTTTTGATTTTAGTTATTTTATTTATACTAATTCAACTAATTCAACCAACTCTTGATTAAAAAATCTCTTATTTCAAGTTTCTTATTATTATTTTTTTATTTATATGAAATATTTATTTTCATTATTATTAAATTAACAAAATCGCAGTATTACATTTTAATACATTATAATACATTAGTAAATTAAGTAAATTTTAATAAAAACTGATTTTATAGCATAATATTGTTTTATAAGTTAAACTGGTTGAATATTAATTTTATTTAAAATTATAATTTGTTGTTATTTGTCCTTATTAGGACAATTTTAATTATAATATTAATGTATTAAGTATATTTACTTAATACATAATATTTGTTATGAATTATGTTTAGGTGGTGAATATCGATTAAATAGGTCTGAAGATGCATTTCAAGAATTAAATAAAAAGTCTATGGCATTAAAAAGAATATTAAGTCGTATTCCAGATGAAATCAATGATCGTAAAACATTTTTGGAAACTATTAAGTAAACCATATATATTTAAATTATTTTAAATTAATAAATTGTAATAAAAATAATAAAATATAAAAAGTATTTGACATGGATTTTATGAGTATAAATATTTAATACCTTAATTAGTTCTTAAGAATAATATTAATAATAATTAATAATAAAAAATTAATAATAGTTCTTTAGTTATCATTCAACTGTTTTAATCTAACTGTGTTAAAAGAGTTTTTGATATAACATTTTATTGTATAATTAATATTATATATATTTATTAAGTTTAAGCTAAAGTTAAATACAATTTTTATTTTTACCAAAATGACTCAAAATGAGATACATTTATTTAATGATTAATCAAATAAAAATTAGTCAAATAGTAAAATTAGTAAAATTATAAAAATAAAATTAGTCAAATGACTAATTATACCACATGGAACAACCAAATTAATCTCAATACTATTGACTAATTCAATAGAAATTAGTTACTTCTTCCCATTACTAATTTCAATCACTAATTAGTCTTCCTTGTTAACTCAGCAAAATATAAATCTTAATTGGTCTTATACAATATACTAAATGAAACTTTTAAAATGTATTGTAATTATGGATAACAATTAATTTATTGTTATATTTATTATGTTTCAATAGAAAGCTCTTCGAACTATTTTATGCTTTTTATTCTTGCTATCTTTGAGTTATGAGAGAATGAGTAATTATATTAAATTTTCAATATATTTTAATAATAAAATCATTGATTTTTTGAAAAGAAATATAACCATAAAATATGTTATGTACTATCTTACAATTTAACCTTTTTAATTTTAGTTATAAATTGAAATGTTACTATTTTTAATTTGAAAATAAGATTATTATTAAATTAAAATAGTATATCATAAATTCAAAAAAAATAGAAAGCTACTTCAATCCATTGTTGATGATATAAAAATAGTAATAAAAAAGTAATAAATTAATATAAATGAATAGTTATACTGTATAATATGTAAATACTAGGAATGAATGTAAAGTAATTTAAGCTTTACATTGTAAACAATTTCTTATTCTGTTTTTCTGATTTAGTTACTAGAACTAGAACTACTTATTGCACAGATTTTAATATATTTTTTTGTTAATTACAAAAATGTTTATTTTAATAGAGAGATAGCCAGTGCTATAAAAAAATTACTTGATGCAGTAAATGAAGTATCCGCGTACATTCCTGGACCAAGTAATAAACAAGCATTGGAACAGAGAAAACGAGAATTTGTCAAGTATTCTAAACGGTTCAGTAATACACTTAAAGATTACTTCAAAGAGGGGTTGTAAGTAAATTTGTTGCCTTAAAATTAATTATTTTTAAATTTTAATACAGTTTTTCATAATATTTTTAAACTCAAAGATAATAATGCTCTTCAAATTCAATGGTTTAAATGATAAGTGAAACTTGTAATTCTTATTAAATTTTTATAATTAGCACGCTATAGTAATTATTGCCTTTTTTTTTAGTTGACTATTTAATATTTTACCAACATTTTCTTATTATTTTATTAAATATTTGTATTTTTAAATTTTAAATGTATAATATATAATATAATTATCAATACTAAATGTAAAATGTATCTTATTTCAATTAGAAGATTGTTAATTTTAATTTTAAAATAACTAGTAAAAAATTAAAAAAAATATAAATTATCCACAATATAAGTTTCTGTTTATATTTAAAAAAAATGTATGGCCATAAGTAGGGCTCGGATTTTAATGCACTTAAAATCTATGATGTTTAGTTAACATAAATTATCAACATGTAAATACCCAATACCATATTGGAAAGATTTTTTTAATGCTAATACATTTTCTTAGAGAAGTTTAAATTTGTTTTATAAAGTATTAAAACTATAAATAAAGCTTTTATTAATATTTCTTAATTTAAAATGTCTGTCATAATTAATTTATATTTATTTCAATATGGTTAGTATAACAGAATGTAAGTTATGTATTATATAATAACTATGTAATAATAGTATATTTATATTTTGTTTCAGAGCCAACTCAGTATTTATTAGTGCCTTATATTTAATTCATCAAACTAACCAAATAATGATAACTGTAAAAAGTAAATGTGAATAAATTTAAAAATTTTATTTTTTATTAACTTATATTAATAAGTAAGATATGTAGAACATTCCACTATCATCTATTTCTTTTGATTATTGTTCTCGTTGAAAAAAAATAAGAATGTTATATAGTTTTAAATTTTTCAAATTCTATTTTTAATATTTATATAAATTTTTATCATAAATTAATTTTCAAAATATATTTGTCACGTTTCAAAAACTTGATATTATTTTTTACAAATATTATATTATATTAATTTGCGAACAATATTATTATGGAGTTCTTGATCATATATAAAAAAAAAAAATTATACCTTAACTATAATTTATCATTATATGAAGAAAAAAAATAATTTTCAAGCTCTTGTCCAAAATAAAGAAGTATTTTCCTTTGTAAACATGTTACACTTCTTATTCGTTTTCAATGTTTATTAACTAATTTATAATTATTAATTTGTAAATTTTAAAATATTCATTTTTATATTTTATGCACAGTATTATAGTTGAAAATGAATGTGATTAAGTACATGTTGTAATTATTAGTTGAATTCTTATACTATGTATAAGTGTGTTGTGTATCAAAATATAACAATCATTGTTATTATTTAATTACACTTATTTAATTTTTTTAAATCATTATTATGTTTAGAAACTTTCAAAACTCTATTTTTATTCATGAATGAATCATTGTTAACTCTAATCATATACATATTACTATTAAAACAATTAATTAATTTAAATTGTATTCTTAATATTAGATTAATTAGTTTTTTTTTTTTTTTAATTTATGTTAATATAAAAAACTTATTTATTTAGAAAAAAATATTATCATTAATTTATAATTGTATTGATGTTATAAAAAATCAATTTAGCAACATGTGCAATTTACTTTAATGTTCAAAAAAGTTGTATAGTATTTTCATTAAAATTGTATTTTTAAACATTATAAATGCATGTTTATTCTATATTTTATTAAAATTTTGATTGTTATTTAAATGATAATTGGTGATTATTCTAAAAAAATAAGGATTATTTTAGGGATCAAGTAATGAGATTTTGATTTATTTATTTTATAGATTTAGTATTTATGAAAATAAAGTAAACTATATAATAAACATATAAACATTAGAGTATATTTTTATTAAATATAGTTTAAAAATAGATAGGAAACATTTTAATGATAAATTTAATTACACAAGGCACTATTATTATACGAAAAATTATAAATACATTTGGGAGATTTCCATGTTTGAGTTATTTTTATTCTATTATGATTTTAAGGATTATACTGGAGTCTTGATAATATCCAACAGATATCAGACCAGAGGACTGTCGGATTAACAAAGACGTCTAATGGAGTTTCACTTAATAACGCATCCTTATTTATTGAAAAACCTTAGTTAATTTTATTAAAACTTTAAATAATACATATAACATACTAATTTATGACGTAATGTGAATTAATCTTTTGTCAGTACAGTAAAAAAAAATATATATATATAATAATATATAAAATATTGCCGGATATCCGAAAGTCTACTGTAATATATTATAAATATAAATTGAGGAGATGAACAATATAATATAAACACTATACAATATAATTACATATTGTTTGTACTGTATCTCCAACATCACTGATGCAATTGAAGGATATTTTGATAAAAGAATGTGACAAAATTCCGTTGGAAAGTATTCAGGTCCTTTACAAATCCGTTCCACGAAATATTCAAGCTACTTCAATAGCAAATGGTGGCCCGAAACCTTATTAATAAATCAATATGTAAATATAAATAAATAAATTACGTGTATGTCAGTTGTTCATATTATTTTGTCTACCTCCTGTATGTATATATTATAACTTAAATCTATTAATTTGATATACGAAGTCAATTACAATAATCGATATCTAAATATGCCTGAGTTCATTAAAACTGAAAAATACCTAATGAAGCTTTTTTTCGTATCAAGAAAAAATCGATTAATATAATTGTTACTCATTAATAAAGAATGCGTTTGTTCTCACAAAGCAAATATCCTTTAAGAATACTTCATCTATTTTTTAGAATTTTTAATCATTAAAATAAACTTTTTTTTTTTTAGTCCAACAATAATATTTTTGCATTTTTGTCTGACATTTATCATTTTATTTATATAAGTCGTTATGATCTAAACTATAACAATTATTTTTTATAATAAAACAATTTAAAAAATAAAATATAAAAGTATTGTAAAATTAATGTAAATGAAATGTATATTCTTAAACGCTAAAACATTCTTTTATATGCTTAATAATGTATTAATATTTAATTATGTTGATAATTTAAATCGTACATATTTTTATATTCTCATTCTAGTTAAAAAGCTTTAAATCTAAATAATCAAATAATATTTATTAATTAAAAAGTTAAAAATCCGACAGCTGAATTCGAAATCAACTCTAAGCTGTATAGTCTATAATAGTTTATTATGAAGACCATTAAACAGACATTTTACAGTTTTAAGTAGGTGTAGAACAGAGCCGTAACTAGGATGAGGCGAGCGAATCACTTGCCTTAGACGCCTGAAGCTGGGGAGGCGCAAAAGTATTAATTATTGTCGGTACCTAGTGCCGCAACTACAAAGTCGGAGACCCGTGTGCGGTAATTATATTAGGCCCCTTCCTAGGATTTATTTTTGTTGTACGTCTTATTTATAAGTATCAATTTTTTTACGTTTTAAAACACGTTTCACATCAGTTAGTGTATGATATATATATATCAAATGAAATACCTACAACTGTTATATATTATACTTCACTACATATTTATGTAGTAAATTTATTTAAGTAGTTTAGGTAGTTATATTTTATGCCTACCTACTCAAATACTCCATGGACTCATTGTTAAATAAATATTATATTACTCTAAAATATTATAACATCCTTACCTGAATTTTAAAAAAAATTTCTTTTTATTATAAAATAATAATATAATATTATTAAATAATTGTGTGTTTATAAACTGTAGTTAATTTTAGGTTGGAACTAGCCCCCCCCCCCCCCCCAAATGTATGTAAGCCTTGGGGCCCGTGTGCATGGCACACTCTGCACACCCAGTTTTTGCGGCTCTGTCGGTACCTGCTTAATATCTACAGTATATTTGCTGACACAAAAGCAAGGATAATTAAATTATAAATAATAATCGTTTTAAATTATTTTATTATATTTTTATAATAATAATCTATTATTTTCAAACATATAATAATTTGCAAATATCAAATTTATTTATTTATCTTAATATAAGAAGTTGATAATTAATAATTAAATACTTGTGGCTAAAAATGTTATTTCTTGTTTGGCTAGAAACCTAATAACAATTTTTCAGATTTTTTCGAATCGTATGATACATATTAAAAGCTGTGAGTGAGACAACCCTACAACCTAGGTTGTACATTGCTTCAGTTCTGCCTCAGGATAAAAAATGGATCGGTACGGCTCGGTGTAAAAGTAAACATTTACATATCTCAATTAATAATAGTTTTTAGTCGAGATTTTTTTTCAATTATAAACATAATTACAGATAAAATGTATGCGTTCTAAATTAAAATTGTCTTCTGTTTCTCGATTGGCACCCAATAAATAAAAATGCAAATTCATTGATAATACGAAAATCACAATTTTACCCGTCTTAAAAGTTAATTTAACGTTTTTATTGATGTTATCAATATAGTAGAAATTACTTCGATATCATCCAATTTGAACATCATATTGTTTATCTTTCTAACGAAGGGATAACTAAATTTATAATATTCACAAATGCCACACTGCGAATTTGGTAATTAATGTCCCCCGCATTGAGAAGCACTTTTATTATTTTACCTGTGGTCATCGGTCATCGTCTTTTTTTAATTCAAGATGGACATTTAGTTCCATTTGTTCCGCTACAATATTGCGATCACGGTCCGTGTTGTTAATAGTTTTCTTTTTTTTTCAAAGATTTAAAATATTTAGCGCAATTATAATATTATTTTACATTATATTAATATTATTGGTTTACAATATTGTAAGCAGTTGATGTTTATTTCTGTTAATTTTTCGTCCGGCAACGCGAATACGCCCATTTTTTCAAGTAAGTGATGAAATCGGCGATCATACCCTCTATATAATCATTTCGGTCAACCGCCGTCCGTATTAATATTTAAATATTTTTTTTAATTAATAAATTTTTTTCCAAATGTCTAAGCTCCAATATTCATTTGATGTTTTCCATCAGGGTTCTAGTCAAAACCAGTTCTAATACCTGTCTAAGAAGTTTACTGCTTGTATTTTATAATTTTGCTATTAGATATTACTAGGCCTAGGGACTTCTAGTATTTCCATACTTTTTTTAATTATTATTAAATATATCAGAGTGCGAAATCAATTTGTTTCTCAGTACCATGATATCACATTTCAAATTTGAATGTGCATATTTTTGCATATTTGATAGATTTTTCAGGTGAGTATATATTTTAAATTGTTTATGCTTATTTAACAAATTTTTCAAATTTAAAATTAAAAACTATAGATACATATAACTATATATACATATTTCGACCGATCGAAATAAAAATATACTAAGAGGACTTAATACTTTCAGTAATATGTTAACTGCAAACTACCTCTCATATTTCGTATTGATTATAAATACTAGTGTAATCAATGATAATACTATAAACCCATATCGACTATATAACCTGCTATATATATATCGACCGGGTGTCGATAAAGATATTAGTCGATATAGATTATTTGTTTAGTGTTCAGTTCAGTCGATTATTATCATACATAAAACGTACGAGTATATTTTGTAACAATTTGTACAATCTACAAATAGCCGTCTATCAAGTTTTATTTTGGAGTTTAAAGATACGTTTACATCTGATGGACACGTTTTATTTTGAGTGCTATGGGGTCATTTTTTTTTTTTTTTTTTTTTTTTAATGCATATAAATATATATAAATATATTTTAATGATTTTAGAAGCATATTTGCATGCATATTTGTGTATTTTATAGAGCTATAAATCCCTAAGCCTAGTTATTACGAGACCTAGATTTATCAAAATAGCTTAA